TTCTATGAAGTAGAATTTTGCATGAAGAAGTCACTAATCTGATCCCATTTGGAACTTTGGGACAACAGCGACATCGGTCAGGCAAAACCATCAATTGAATATGATGTGGTCAATTTTGTTGTGGAACTGTCCACTGGGAGACTTCCATGTCCCACATTTAGATTCGGTCTTCTGGAACTGTGAGTTACCATGGATGGTCTTGGTCGACATGACAAACTCAGTCTCTCACCCTGTTCGTTCCATTCTAGGCCATGGGTCCCAATGTGGAGTTCTTCGGCTGATCTTCTCTGTCTTATCTTGGCGATAAAATCACCAACAATGATCTTGTAGAAGGTGTGATCTTCTTTATAGAACTTCTCCAGCTCCATGTAGAACCTCTCAATTTCTCCTTCATCATAATTGGATGTTGATGCGTAGACAACAAAGATAAAAACTGCCAGCAGTGAGCCACATCTATTCAAGTGTAATGGTCTGATTCAGGTTGTTAGGCATTCGAATGAATCAATGCTCATGGCCAAGTTCATGTTGACAAGGACACAGACACCACCGGTGCCTCTTTTGTCACATTTTCTGAGGAACAGTTCTTCAGTGTCGAAAATGGTTATGTGGTTGATGCCTTCTGTTCAGACCAATGATGTCTTACTTGATCTTTCGCGCTGATACCATCAGGTCCTCGATGCATGCATTTGATGCCAGCATACATGCATTGAAAGTACAGACCACCATTTTGTCAGTAAAGAAAAGGACAGCACCTGGCCCAGACAAGGTCAAACCTGAATGACTGAAGAATCTGCTGTCAGTACTCATCAATAAACTGGCTCGGCTCTTCAAACACTACCTGTCTGAATGTAAGGTTTCAACCGAGTGGAAAACCAGCAGGACTGTACTATTGTACAAGAAGGGAGACATTCACAACATTGGCAACTATAGTCCTATCTGCCTATTGTCTATCATCTACAAGCTGTTCACTTGAATCATTCTGAGTAGGATTGGTAGAACACTAGATGAAGGACAACCATGCGAGCAAGCCGGGTTCCACAAAGGATTCATCACGATTGACCATATCCACATGATAACCATGCTCATTGAGGTTTCTTGGGAGTTCAATATGCTGCTCTGTCTAATGTTCATTGATTTAAAGAAGGCCTTTTATTCTGTTGAGACTGAAGCAGTCATCGAAGCCCTAGCCAAACAGGGTGTTCAAACTCAATACATCAGGATCCTCCGTGAGCTGTATTGCAGATTCACTACCAGGATCTCACCATTCTACAGAGAGGTAATCATTGACGTCAAGAAAGGGGTTCATCAGAGTGATACCATTTTACCAAAACTCTTCAGTGCCACCCTCAAGAACGTCATATTACAATTGGAATGGGAAGGAATGGGAGTGAAGATAGACAGTCAGCAACTACACCACCTCTGCTTTGCTGATGACATTGTTCTAATAATACCAAACATTAACCAAGTGGCATAAATGCTGGCCGACTTCAACCGTGAGTGTAGAAATGTTGGACTCCAGCTGAATATCACGAAGACAATGTTTTTGAGAAACAGTCTCGTTCCTGATGTTCCATTTGCTCTCAACAGAATAACCATCTCCAACTGCAACAGTTATGTGTACCTAGGTTAATAAGTTAACATGATGAATGACCTGGCACCTGAGTTGTGCAGGAGGAAGAGAGCGGCTTTGAATGCCTTCAAGAACATCAGAGAAATAGCTAAGAGCACGAAGAACCTCCGGCTCAGGGCACATCTCTTTGATTCCACTGTTTTTCCTGCACTAACATATGCCTCAGAGACCTGGGCCCTTTGAAAACAGGATGAGAACGCTATTTGGGTCTCCCAAAGAGAAATTGAAAGAGCTATGCTTTGGAGTATCATGTTTCACTCAAATTAGAGAAAGAATCCTGAGTTCTGGCCTCTGCCGATGGTCAAGAACTAGGGACACTATCTCATTTGCCAAGGCGTCGAAAATCAGATGGACTGGACATGTAATGAGATTTGGAGACGACCACTGGACTAGAGCCATTACTGACTGGACTCCACGGGATGTCAAATAACTGCATGATCACCCACCTACGAGATGGTCAGACTTCTTCGTCAAGACCCTGAACGATCGGTTTGAGGCTCTTCATGTTCCTAGAATGAGCAGACGCCATTGAGCTACAGTAGCACGTGACAGGGACAAATGAAGACATTACTGGCACCTGCTCGAGTGAATCGATGGATAACGGGATGTCAAGTGATCTAGTAATTTTATCATTCAAATAACATCTGGCCTTGATTTTGAGTAACAGTGAAACAGAGCATTTCCGGTCCCCTAAGAATTTTAGCATCCCTAAAGCATAGGAGAAGAGACTGAGGATAGTACCTCAGGGAAAGTGCTGGCCTTGCATGTGGCACACCTTCTCTGAGCACCAACATGAGCGATCCCTGAGCAGAGACAGGCGTAAGCCCTGAGCACTGCCAGTGTGGTCCAACCATCTTCCCCCATCCCTGCACCACCACCAAAATACACAGAAAAACAAAAGTTGTGGAAGCACAAGCCTTATCTGTAAGACTCTTCAGATTTCCTACAATTCTTCACAGTCCTTGTAAGGCAGTAGCCATCTGTGCTGTCTACTCATTGCTGGGCATATGTTGAAGGATAACTTATAGAAGGATGACAGTCACTTATGTAATAACCTATGGCACGTTCCCCTTACACAATTATGTTATAGCTTCCATAGGTCAGAAGGTAAGTGAGGGGCCAGGGTGACAGTACATTTGCCTTGCACGAGGCTGAGCCAGGTTCAATTCCTTGCATCCCACATGATTCACTGAGCCCTACCAAGAGTAATTCCTGAGTGCAGAGCAAGGAGTAACCCCTGAGCATCACTGGGTGTGACCCAGAAAGAAAAAAATGGTAAGTGAATGTAAAGTCTTCAATATAAATGGCTAAGAACATTATTTGTAAATGATTCCTTTCAATAAACCTTACTGATCTTCTAATCAAAATGGCACAGCAGTATAATAAACTATGAAAATATTTGTACTAACTACTAATCATACTTAAATACAAATGATACTCCTGAATAATTGAGTCATGATCCCAAGTGTAAAAGCATTAAGCATCTTCCTTTAGTGTCCAGAGAAGCTGGATTAAAGCAGGACTAAGGACTTTTTCCCCCTTTCCCAGGTTGTAAAGAAACTCAGGAGGTTAAATACCACCTTCAGGTTCTCTTGGCAAGAATAAGTGCAAAGGAACATGTATTTGGAGAGGCCACATCTGGGATAACACAGAGATTTTCACTGAACTACAAGTTGAGGTACAGGTCTCTAAAAAGGAGTATTATGGGGGAGAGGGAAAGAGTGCATGTAAGGGCCAGATCCGGGAAAAAATAGCATAAGCCATGAATGATGGTGAAGATCTTGCAAACATAGTGAAAAGAAAGGACCCAAGAAGACATGCATCAAATACAAGTCATGAAATCAATGTTACAAATAAAAAAGAAATGTTAAGAAACATTTAACTTAACTTTATGAACAAGCCCGGTGTGTGTGTGTGTGTGTGTGTGTGTGTGTGTGTGTGTGTGTGTATGTGTGTCTAAGATTCGGGGCTTGAAAAATGATGTCAGAGGGTTCTTCACCTGAACTTTCAGTCACCTTTATCAGCTGCAAGAAATGCAAGCCAGGGAAAAACGTGCTGCTGGCCAGCTGCTCCTCCACTGCTGAAGACCTCTGCGCTCCTGCCCTTCAAGATCTACCAAGTTCAGTCTTAACCTTTTCATCCCTGTGCATTACTGTGTGTGTATGTGTGTGTGTGTGTGTGTGTGTGTGTGTGAGAGAGAGAGAGAGAGAGAGAGAGAGAGAGAGAGAGAGATGTGGGATGGACAGTCTACTTTCCTTACACCTAAATTCATGACACATTCTCCCCTTCTTCTGTCTTTTGAATGATTTAAATAGAAATTAGATATCTCTGAGTAAATGATCTCCATCTAAGCTTACGCTTTAGTTGGCTTATTTATGACCAAAGAACATAGTATGGTAAAATGTCAGAGAAATCTATAAAGATACGGCAATAAAAAACTAAGCAAATCTGAATATAAAATATTCACTGATCTTTTACACTTTGCTTACTTAGTAATCACCATGAAAATGGCTACTTTGTCTTATTTATGTTTTCTTATTTCAGAAGGCATGTAGGTCAATGTGATTTCAAGTATATTATTTATATTTGCTTAAAGGGAGGACAGTGGATAATTAAATAATAAGTGAAAAGGATATAATTATACACACATTATATATATATATAGAGAGAGAGAGAGAGAGAAAAACAGACAGACAGACAGACAGACAGGCAGACAGACAGACAGACATGCAAACCCCAAAACATCCAGGTAGATCTCAGACTGTAAACTATCGGAGTAACAGATGTGTTGTAGTATTTTTAAATCCTTATCCATCTTTCTGTTATTCCTAAAGAGACTTGCTCCCCATAATGTGTGCACAGTGTTGCTACCGGGCTATTATAAAATATGCCATACACTCAGTCAAGGCATTGTTTTATATTTTTTAAGTGAAAACACAGTATACTAAGCTATCCTACTTAAATATACCAAGACGAAACCCGGTTTGCTTAAAAATTAACCCTGAATGTCAATGGTTTCTGAAATGATTTCTCCAGTGCCTGTACTGATCCCGCAACTAGGACGGGCGTTACTCTGAGTGCAGCTGGCTTCGAAAGAGCTTAGGGAAATCGGTTGAGGTGCCACATCAGCCATGGCTTATGGATAATAAGAGAGCCCCTAACTCTACTGCCCTAGGATAATGGCCTTGGATAATTAGGTGACACATTTTTCAATTAGAAGAATGTTGGTGCTGCTCTGATTCGGTTGCAGTTCCCTTGCCTCAACCCACAATATGCCAGAGGTTTGGGTTTGTTATGAGCCAGGGAATCATAACGCAGAATAAAGGAGTTGTGAACACACAGTGATGAAAGAAATGGCCAGGAATATTACCTTACGGGGCTATTCGAGGCATCCGGGTCATGAGCTGCTACTGTACCAATGATGTTCCCGACTGGAGTTGCCTCTGACACCTCCATGGAGTACAAGGGGGAAGAAAAAACGGGGGGTTCATCCACATCCTCCACGATGATCTTCACAGTGGTTGTGTCGCTAAAGGGCCCCAAGCTGAGGAAGCGAGGGTCGGCGTCTTTGTTTGCAGCTTCTATCCGGAGCGTGTAACTCGTTTTGGCTTCAAAATCCAGGTCCTGTAAAGAAAGTTATCAGGAAAATTAAATTACCGATTAGATAGTCAGCAAAGCAGAGCCTTTTCATTGATGAATGTCAATAAGCAGAGAGCGAGGACGCCACACGCAAAAGCGCAACATCAGCATTCAAAGCTAATATGTCCTAATGCCAATCAAAATCCTTCCTGGCTCTGAGACAAGGGTAAGTGCTTTCGAGCTAATCCACTCTGCGGTCTCATCCATTGCCCGGACAAACGCAGGTTTTTAGGTTATTATTTGAAAGTCAGCGAAGAAGATTTAAAAATCGGTTCCAACAGGGACATCACTGCAATATTTTTCAACCCTGTAATTTAACAGCACTATTTGAGGGTGCACATTAAAAAAGAAGAGAAATCTAACTTTGCACTGAGCTTCTCATTCTAAAGGTCATTCCCAATGTTTCCGGGACTGTATTCCAATCGTGTGCTTAAAGGTGCTCCCTGCAATGACTCGAGCAGCAAAGTCAAGGCATTGCTATAGTGTGGCCCTATAGTTCATTCTTCTGCAGCAAACACTGACCAGTTTTTGGTTTTGTTTTGGACCCCTGGCAGTGGTACCCAAGGGTCACTGCTGGCTCAGCTCAGGGGACTAGGAAGTACTAGGGATCCAGCCCAGGTTGGATGCATGCAAGGCAACCACCTTCCCAGCTGTGCTACCACTCCAGTCCCCCAGACATCTATCATTCCCCCATTTGCTATTCCTTCATCTGAACGGGCTCTAGTTCTATTTACATCGATGGTTTACAGGTCCATTGATCATCGAGTCTATCTTTATTCCAGTAACATGCTGTTTTAATTATGAGTCCTTTGTAGTAGAGCTTGAAGCTGGGGAAGATAATGTCTCCCATCTTTTTTCCCTAAAGATTACTTTGGTTATCTGGGGGCAGGACCTGGAAGGGAGAAGTTATTGTTCTATTTGAATTTCAGAGATGTTTGATCTATTTATTTGAAAAATGTCATGGGTATCCTTACAGAGATTGCACTGCATTTGGGGATTACTGCATTTTGATGATGCAAATTCTCCCAATCCACAAACAAGGGATGTGCTTCCTATTTTTTCAATTTGTGTTGTGTATCTTTCATTGTACAGGTCTTTTGACTTTTTGGTTCAGTTATTTGCTAGGTACATGTTTTCATGAGGTCCAATTGTGAATAAGATTGTTTTCAATATTTATTTTCTATTTCATTACTTGCATATAGGAAAGTCATGGGTTTTTGCATGTTAATCTTGTAGCCAGTCACTTTACTATATAAAGCTATTGTTTTTAGGAGTTTTATTACAGTCTTTAGGGTTTTCTAAAATAGGGGCATGCCATCTATAAATAGGAGAGCATGACTTTGACCTTTCCTCTCTGATGCCCTTAATACTTGTTCCTAATGACATGCACAAAAGTCAAATCAAAATATTATAAAGATCTAATTATAACACCTAAATCCATAAGGTACATAAAAGAAAACATAGGCAGAACTCTCCATGAAACTGAAGCTAGAGATATCTTTAAGAATGAAATACCACTGATCAAGAAATGGAAGCAAAGATAAACAAAGTACCTTAAACTAAGAAGCTTCTGCACCTCAAAGGAAACAACAACCAGAATACAAAGACAGCCCATAGACTGGAAGAAACTGTTTGTCCACCACTCATCTGATGAAGCATTAATCACAATATATACCAAGCACTGATAGAACTTTACAAGAAAAAATAAGCCAACACCAGCAAAAATACAAGGAGAGTTGATGAAAAAAACTTCTTCATAGAAGAAATACAAATGACCAAAGCATATGAAAAAATGCTCTGTATCACCAATCATCAGAGAAATTCAAATCAAGACAACAATAAGATTTCATCTCACACCAGAAAGATGCACTCATTACAAAGAATAATAACAACTAATGTTGGTGTAGCACTGTAACACTGTCCTCCCATTGTTTATCGATTTGCTCAAGTGGACACCAATAACATCTCCATTTTGAGACTTGTTACTCTTTTTGTTTTTGGCATATCGAATACGCCATGGGGAGCTTGCCAAACTTTGCCGTGTGGATGGGATACTCTCGGTAGCTTGCCAGGCTCTTCAAGAGGGGCAGAGGAAGCGAACCCAGGTTTGCTGCATTCAAGGCAAACGCCCTACTCGCTGTGCTGTTGCTCCAGCCCAATGTTGGTGCAGATATTGGAAATACGGGATACTCACTCACTACTGGTGGGGATGTTAACTGATTCAGCCTTTTGGAAAATAATATGGGTATTCCTCAAAAAAAAAATCCAAGAATTGAGCCTCCATATGACCCAGAATGGGAATATACCCTAAGAGACCAAAAAACACATGCAGAAAAGCCATTTCACTCCTATATTCATTGCAGCTCCACAATAGTCAAAGTATAGAACACATCAAGGTCCCAAGAACAGACAATTGGGACAAAGGAACTATGGTCCATATACAATATGGAAAACTATGCACTTTTTGAAAAAGTTGAAATCTGCTGATAATGAATGAATCGTGCTGAGTGAGATGAGTCACTGGGAGAAGGACAGACACAAAATGATCACACTCATTTTCAAATATAAAGAGTCACAGTAGGCACATGATGAATAAAGCCAAAGAAAACAGAAGGGCAAGAGAACTGGCTCTTATTAGAAAAGTTGCCAGTGTAGGGAAGGTGTTAGTTCAGGGAAGGGACCACTATGACAATAATAGGGACAAGTGGCCACTCTGGTCAAGAACTGGGGACTGAAAGGAGGTAAAGTAATATGCCTGAGTCCCTTTCAGTAGCAGTGTTGCAACCACAGTGCCTAGGAGGAGAAGGCCCTCCCGTTGATCGTCGATTTGCTCGAGCGGGCCCAGTAACGTCTCCATTGGAGACTTTGTTGTTACTGTGTCTGGCATATCAAATACTCTCGGTAGCTTGCCGGGCTCTCCGAGAGGGGCGGAGGAATTGAACTCGGGTCGGCCATGTTGGCCGCTTGTAAGGCGAACGCCCTACCCGCTGTGCTATCGCTCCAGCCTAGGAGGAGAAAAGAAAACAAAAATGTGTGTGTCCAGGCTGGCGGGTGAGAAGGAGACTGGGAAGATTGTTGGAGGAACGGGGACACTGGTGAAGGGATTGTTGCTCATGGGATACCTGACACTCAGTCAAGAATAACTGCATAACTGTAACTCGCAGTGATTCTATAAATAAATAGGGACCTCAGTCCAACCAAATGGTGCTTTTATAAAACTAAGGCTAACGACAAAGCCACGCGGGTTCCGGGGCCGAGACCTCCAAGCCTACTCGGATTGGAGTCGAGCATCTTCCACCCAGATCCTCCAAATTCCAGTAGGCGGGGGTCACACCCACCACCTGGCCCCCTGGCGCCGTGTAATCCCATCAGCGGCCAAGACTCAGAGACTATAAAATCCAGATCCCGGACGAGAACAGTGCAGTCTTCTGCCCCCGCGCCTGGGTGTTCCTTCCCGGGGCCCCTTGGAGGGGAGTGAGTTGAACTTTCCTCCCCGCCCCGACCAGGGCTCCGGCAGCCGAAGACCTCCAGGACCAGCCACCACCATGCTGAGACCACTCTCCGCACACATGAAGGTACTGGCAGAGGGACAAAGCCACGCGGGTTCCGGGGCCGAGACCTCCAAGCCTACTCGGATTGGAGTCGAGCATCTTCCACCCAGATCCTCCAAATTCCAGTAGGCGGGGGTCACACCCACCACCTGGCCCCCTGGCGCCGTGTAATCCCATCAGCGGCCAAGACTCAGAGACTATAAAATCCAGATCCCGGAACCGCGCGGCCGCATTTGCGGTCACGCTACATCTTATCAGAACTTTTTTTTTATGACATCTTATTGTCTCATTCCTACTTTGGACAAACTTGCAGGCTATTGAATGTAGCCTGCCCACAGTGTAGAGTCTGGCAAACTCCCCGTGGCGTACCAAATATGCCAAATACCAGTAACAATGATGGGTCTCATTCTCCTAAAGAGCCTTGACTATAATCTCAGGGCTAGGATGAAAGAGACGTTACTGGGGCCTGCTCGAGGCAATCGACGAATAACAGGATGAAAGGCTAATGAAATTTTGAATTAGTAGAAATCCATTGTTGAGTTAGGAAAAAAAATGACATAAAAATTTCCTCGTATAATATATTGAAGTTGGGATAATAGCCTGCTTCTTTCTCTTGGAAGGAGGTAGAGTTGTAACAATTTTTTTAAATGTAACTTTCAACTTCATTTTGTCACTGAAGCTGCTCCTAAACACTCCATATTGAAGGATGCCAAAGCAAAGGAATAGGGGAGCAAAAAGTAATCAGAAAACCAAGCAAAGGAAGGAGGAAGCACATCTATAAAGCCATCAAACATAAAGCACATGATTAACTTAATTGTCATTGTTTGATGAAAACTATTAGGAAAATGAACTCAAGTGATAAGTACCAGGCGGTTCACTCAATGACTTGGAGGCCAGCCACACACGCTAGGGGAAAAGGCAGCTCAGATAGAGAAGGGAGCACCAGATAAAGGGTGTTGGGAGGATCCTCCCAGGATGGGAGAAGCATGATGAAAGTAGACTCTAGACCGAACATGATTGCCACTCAATGCCTCTTTTGCAAACCACAACACCCAATAGGAGAGAGAGAACAAGGGGAAATGCTCTACCACAGAGGCAGGGTGGGAGGGTGGGATGGGGGGTGGGAGGGATACTGGGATCTGTGGTGATGGGAAATGGGCACTGGTGGAGGGATGGGTATACTCAATCATTGTATAATTGAATCCCAAGCACAAAAATTTGTAAGTCTACAACTGTACCTCATGGTCTTTCATTAATAAAAATTTTTAAAAAAATGAACTCAAGTGTAATGTTGAAAAATATGTATAGCTCAGGCCCTCCCGTTGATCGTCGATTTGCTCGAGCGGGCCCAGTAACGTCTCCATTGGAGACTTTGTTGTTACTGTGTCTGGCATATCGAATCCTCTCGGTAGCTTGCCGGGCTCTCCGAGAGGG